TTTTTTTAAAGATTATTATTTTTTTATTTATTTGAGAGAGAGAAAGAGCATGAGCATGGGAGAGGCAGAGGGAGAGAGAAAGGGAGAAACAGACTCTCTGCTGAGCAGGGAGCCCGATGTGGGGCTTGATCCCAGGACCCTGGGATCATGACCTGAGCTGAAGGCAGACGCTTAACTAACTGAGCTACCCAGGCGCCCCGGAGGCAGACATTTTAAAGATGAGGTAACTGAGCCTTGAGGGGTGTCCGGTGACTTACTCCAGGCCACACACTAAGGAAGAGGTATATACTAAGCAGGCACTGAAATCCAACTCTCCCTAACTCCAGAGTTCTTAGTCGTTCCATATACCACTCTGCCTCTTTGAAAAAGAGCAATGGAAGCTGTTAAAGGAAAACGAGGGAAAAAACGCCTGTAAACGTGAAGGGAAAAGAGTTTCAACAAGGAGAACATGACCAGCTGGGTCAAATACCACAGAGAGGCTAAGTGTAGGTAGAACAGAAAGATGGTCCCCGCGTGAAAAGTTTGGGTGAATGTTGGTCCCATGGCAGGAGAAGTTAAATTGCAGCAGCCTGTCGAAGGATGCATGAGAATGAAGTGGCTTCCCCTGGGCTCCTGGGAGGCTTAGGTGTAGAGGGAGAATAAGAGCAATATCCGAAGGGCAATTGTGTGCAAAGTGGGTGAGCTTGAGGATGTTTCACGCTAAAGGACAGGAACCAATGCCCGGATAAATGTTGAAGAGGTAGAAAAGACGGGCTCCCCAGTCGCTTGAGGTCCCTGAGGGAGAGAAGATTTAGGATCCTGGATGAGTTCAGCTCTCCCCAGCCGGTGCCCACCCTCCCCCCAGCAAGGTAGCCGGCTCACCCCAACTGAATGCCTCCTGAGCTAGAGGGATCAGTGGCAAGCTCAGCAGACTGTCTTTCGGATCCTTGGCTGCCATATCTGGCCCTCCTCTGGAGAAATGTACTCATACAGTGCAGCGGCCAAGGCCCAGTGACTCACCACTACCCTCCCTCTCCCCATTCGGCCAGGCTGCCTAGCTGTTTGCAAGCCTGCTTTTCGTTTCTTCCAGGTGTACTAGATCTTAAGTAACCCCCTTGTTCTGTTGTCTTGTCTCGTCAGTCGATCATTGGAACCACCCACCCCAGCATCGTGGAGTGCGTGCTGAAGGTGCTGCGCACAATGCACCTCGAAGTCCAGTATGAAGGTAGGGGCGCAGCTGGGTCTGCTCCTGCTCACACATACAGAAGCTGACCGTGAGCACTAGACAGACTAGCTCTAACAGTTTTCTCTTAGTCACAAAGAACCTTGTTGGGTATCCTGGAGAGCCTTGGCAGCTGGTAGATGCTGGTTCAGTCTGATCTGCAAGTTATTCAGAAAATGACAGTCACTTTCTGTACTTTGAATCAGCCACGTGGTACTTTAACATTGGCTATGATCCACCTGGGTCCAGAGCTGGCTGGTTCCCAGTCTTTTTTCTTTTTTTCAAGATTTTATTTATTTTTATTTTTGCAAGAGGGAGGGAGGTAGAGAGAGAGAGAGTGCACAAGCAGTGGGGAGGGGCAGAGGGAGAAGCAGACTCTCCGCTGAGCAGGCGCTGAGCAGGGAGCCTGACTCGGGACTCAATCCCAGGACCCTGGGATCATGACCTGAGCCAAAGGCAGATGCTTAACCAACTGAGCCATCCAGGCGCCCTCTGGTTCCCAGTCTTATGTGGTACTTCCCCTCTAACCAGAAATCACCCAGAGGACTCCACTTGTAAGGAACTAAACTGAACAGTGGTAGTATTGATAAGTTTGCATGTATTCAGTCCTCCTATGTGCCTGCTACTTTCCGTGCATCATTTCATTTAATTCTCAAAAGAACCACAAGAATACAGAGCCTGACACATATTAGGTATTCAGATGCTCAAATGAACGAACGGTGGAGGTAAGTATTTTTATGTTTTTCAAGCTAAAGCATTGAAGCACAGAGATATTAAGTATGCTTCCCCAGGTTATACAGCTAACCAGAGTCAAACCAGATCTGAATCCAAAGCATATGCTTTTATTTTTTTAAAGTGATCCTTTTTTAATTTATTTTTTTTTCATTATTTTTATTTATTTATTTATTATTTTGTGGGCAGCAAAGCAAAGTTTATTGAATGATAGTACAAAGCTCCCAAAGAGGGAGGGGACCCGAGAGGGTTGCCCTAAAGTGGTCCTTTAAAAAAAAAAGAAAAGATTTATTTATTTATTTGAGAAAGAGAGGGAGTACATGCATGCTCATGGTGGGGGGCAGGGGCAGAGGGAGAGGGAGAAAGAGTCTTAAGTGGACTCCAAGCTCAGCTCTCATGACCCTGAGATCACGGCCCTGAAATCAGGACCTGAGCCGAAACCAACTAGATGCTTAACAGACTGTACCACCCAGGCACCCCCAAAGCGTATGCTTTTAACATGAACCCATGGCAGGTGTTTATAGGATGTTTCCTTCCGTGTTCCTATAGTGGTTCAGAGAAGGAAGATTCTGTTTTCAACAGGAGGGAGCAAAGAAGGGATTGCTGAGAAGGTGGTGTTTGAGCTGACCTTGGAGAATGGGAAGGATTTGGGAAAGTGGAAAGGAGCAGAGGAGGGCATTCTGGAAAGGGGAATGGTATAAACGAAGTTCCGGGCATACAGAAGTACAAGATGTATCTGAGGAATGACAGGTAGATAATTTAGTGGAAGTTTGGTAGAGGTCTCAGCCCAGGAAGACCTAGAAAGGTAGGCTAGGACCAGACCGAGGAGTACCTTGAATGCCAGATGGAATAGTGGGCACTCTGTCCAGGAGGTTACCTGGGTGGTGGTATCCGCAGTAGGTCAGAACCACAGGGAGACTCGAGGCTTGAAGCCAGTTGGGAGGCCTTTTGGGTTGTTCAGATAACAAAGTAAGAATGCCCCCATCTAGCCAAATATAGAGGCCCTGGCAAGAGGGAATGGACAGGACTAGGAAGTGCCTGGGTGTGGAGAATGAGGTGGCATAAGGGGAAAGGGCAGGGCTGAAGAGGCGGGGACACAGAGGCCCATTATGCAGGAAAAGTGTGGACATCAGCAAATATTAGGATCCCTGTGTCCAAGATGGCAGGCTGGTGGAGCCCCGGATCCAGGAAGTCTGGGAGGGGCAAGAGGAGCAGGCAGGAACCAGGGATCAGGTATGCATGTGAGACCCTGGGGAAGACCAGCAAAGGTCCAGAGGGTGACTTCAAATATCGATTGTTTTTCAGAGGCAGTGTTGAAATTGAATGTTGGTCCGTTTTTCCTGCAGTAGCATGCCATTTTTGTATTTGTTTGACCCCTGCAGGTGTGCTTGGGAAGATGGACCTTGTATGGTGAGAAGTAATGCTGTGTTAAAATAAGTTACCAGTTGGAGGAGAGTCTCCTAGCTGGGGAGGAGTTGCCAGAGAGGGGTAGGGTAGTGGAGGGAACTGAGTAAAGGTCAGACCCAGCAGCAGAGAGTTGTCGCTGCATAGGAGCAAGGGTGAGGGGGGTGACGTGGCAGTGGACTCATGTTAGGAAATGTAATCAAGCAGCCCGCAAAGATTACTGGGTGGCACTGAGCCTCCCTCCCTGCCACCACCTCCACGGGGCTCACATGACCACTCCTACTCATCATCACTTCTTAGCTTATGCCTTTCTTCTCCAAGGTCTTCTGTCACCTGCCTTCCAGCCCTGCCCAGATGTCAGCCCTCCTTCCTTTGTACCACCCTGCACCCTCTTCCCTGCCAGTAACCCCAGCCCTGGAGCAGTCATTTCCAGAATACACTGCACAGTTTCAGGCACTTCTTTTTTTTTTTTTTTTTAAGATTTTATTTACTTATTTGAAAGAGAGAGTGCAAGCAGGGGGAGAAGCAGAGGGGCTGGATGAGGGAGGGGAAAGAATCTGAAGCAGACTCTGCGCTGAGTGCAGAGCTGGGGGGCGGGGGAGGCTCGATCTCACAACCTTGCGATCCCAAAACCAAGAGTTGGAGGCTTAACTGCGCCCAGCAGACGCCCCAGTTTCAGTGCACTTCTTACCACTTCTGTCCTTATATCCTCAGAGCAGTCTCTGGCCTAGGGTAGGTCCTTGTTGCATGTTTGTGGAGGGAGAGAGGGAGGGAGTTCTGTCCATACACCCTGAACCCTGGCAGAGGCAGAAAAGTGTGAAGCTTTCTCACTGCCCTTTTGGTTTGATGTCTGCTCCTGTGATAACAGTGAAACTGTGAGCCTCAAAATAATTTCAAACAGGCCAGACTCATAACCGGTGCTCAAGAAATGTCTGTTGAATGAAGGAATTATTCTTTTTCACCAGGGACTTCAAAAGGGTCTTGGTGTAACTGGGAACATAGAGCGTGTATGTGTGCTGTTGTCCACTAGGGGGAGCTATTCCACACGCTCGGCAGAGTGGAAGTTTAGGGAGCGAACGCGGCGTTCAGCTCCCACTGAAAATCCTCCAAAGGCAGGGCAGGGAAGGTCTGACAGGTCTTAGATGTGGTCCAACAGTGCCGAACAGGGAGGACCAGGGAGAAATTTCTCTGAGTTGGAGGACACCAAATTGCAAGACCAAGGTAAAGTCCCCCCAGGGTGATGGCAACAGTCACGGTTGAGAGAAGCCTGTGACCAGGAGGGGTGGGTGGTATAGCTGAATGGACTAACCTTAAAAGGGCAGGGTTGGTTTGTTTTTAAAAAACAAATATTGAGGGGCGCCTGGGTGGCTCAGTTGGTTAAGCGACTGCCTTTGGCTCAGGTCATGATCCTGGAGTCCCTGGATCGAGTCCCGCATCGGGCTCCCTGCTCGGCAGGGAGCCTGCTTCTCCCTCTGACCCTCCCCCCTCTCATGTGCTCTCTCTCTCTCATTCTCTCTGTCTCAAATAAATAAATAAAAATCTTAAAAAAAAACAAAAACAAATATTGAGTGAACATCTGCGGTGTGCCAAGTACTGTGCCAGGTACTGGGGGTGCGGGGGCGGTGGTTGTGTTTGTACTGAGAAGAAAAAGGAATAGTTGAGAAGGAGGAGGGAAGGAGGACGCACTCCACCTCCCACGCTGGGAGGGGGTAGTTGACATCGTTCCCCTGAGAAGGCTACAGGGAAAGTGCAGTTCTCAGGGAGAGTGCGGTGACAACAGGGTGGAGAGGCTTGGGAGGCTAAGTGACTCTTTCCCTTGCAGCATGGGGCCAGGGGTTCCGGAGCCCGGTGGCGGCTTCACCTCTTTTCTCATTGAGAACTGCACCTCTGCGCCTCCGAATCTACCTGCCTGCCTGGCCTGTTACCCACGTTCTCGGCCCTCTTTCCCATCTCAGCTGAGTGTCCCTGCTCCTGCCGCAGCCAGCTCTTCTGCTTCTGCTTCTGCTCTGAAGCACATTCATAAAGCCTTCTCATAAACAGAGGCTCTCTCTTTCTCTCTAGAGGATCATCTCCGGTGACATGCAAATATGTTCTGTATCTCCCATCTTAAAAAAAAAAAAGAGCCCCTCCTTGGGGACTTTAATCTATGGATTAAAAGAGATTTAAAAGACACCCCCCCAGATTAAATTCAATGATAGCGTTTAAGGATGCATAGCGCTCCTTGATCCCAAGTTCCACTCCAGCTACTCATTTTTCCATTTTCTTCCTACTTGATCTCTCAGCTGCTTGTGACCGAATTGGCCCAAAGCAACTTTTCTTCTCTGGGCTTCTGTGACACCACTTCCAGTTCTCCTCCCTCAAGCTGGGTCTGCCATGTTTGTTATGATTGCTTTGCTACTTTCTCCTATTTCTCTGACTGTTGGGTCAGCCTACTTCTCACCTCTTTACCCACACCTTCTGCTTGCATGATTTTGTCTAGTCCCCAGCTTTACACACCACATATATGTTATATATTCAGGTACCAGACTGTGTCTCTGGCCTGACCTCTCCCCTGAAATCTCCCCAGACATCTGAAATTTATAGCCAAAACAGAACTCTTGATTTTCTTCCCAAATCCTACCCTGTCTCCTATTTTCACTAAAAGGTGCCACCACCAACCCAACTGCTCAACTAAAAAGTGTAGGCCTAGTACCAAATGATCTGCTTTCTCTCACCTCCCACTGTGTCCCACCCTTACCGAGTCCTCTCGGTTCTGTCCCTGCTTACAGTCTCTGTCCCCACCACCACTGTGATCGCCCGTGGCTAACTCACCATCCTGTCGCTAAATTCCGCTTCCATCCTGGCCTCCTATAATCCATTCTCCCATT